AATTTTACCGGGGGTATAAATATACTAGGTTTTCTTTACCCCCGGTAAATATATCCTAGGTTAATTTTACCCCCGGATATTTTTACCGGCGGTAAAAATCGCCTGTTACACCGGTGCTAGGATGTAGCTGCAGCTACGGTATACCTAAAAATTAAAATAGCCAACAACTGATATCAATATATCATCATCTATAAATGTGTGTTATTCTGTGGTGTATGCAGTGGCGAAGCAGGAGGGCATTTAGGGGTTCAACCCCCCCTCCCTCGCTATGGCAGCAAAAACTGATACAGTGATAAACTGCAGATAACTCATTGGTTTTGATCATGAACTAAGATATATATAGTATACTAAGTATATTTTAGTCCGTGGTTTTTATTGTATAATGTAGTGTCGTAATAATAATACATAAATACACATTAGGCACTGGCACCACAAAAACAGAACGCTCTATGACAAAAAAGTACGAATTCAAACAGTTAAACGATTTTAGTGATGTGGAAAAAGATAACCTCGCCCCCTTAAATAATTCCTAGCTACGCCGCTGGGTATGTTCAACTGTTCTAGTCTTTTGAACGTATGGTAGAATTTTGAAATACTTTTGATTTATTTAATTTTTAATTTTCCATGTACTACACTATAATAGTAGAACATTGAACATTATTATAATATACTATACCTATGTTATTTAGAACGTTAATATTTTTAAAATGCCTGCGAAATGAAATATTTATACATGCAAAAGTTGTATTCTTTGCTAAAGAAATAGTCATGATGAATACAAAATAATAATGTTTAAAACTTTTAAATTTATTGTTAATAATAATAATATTAATAACCATAAATTATTATTTTTAATATTTAAACATCAAATAGGATTCAATCAAATCCTAAAGGAAATATCGACTCTCATCCCCTCTACAAAATTTCACTATACTGAAATAAAGTTTGAGACATATTAATGYACTTGGTGTCTTGGTATTAAATTTATATAAAATAAAGCTAAACCGAATACAATATGATTAACAATCACATGTTATATAGATCAACATATTGTGGAAAAGTACTTTACTTCAGAATTTAAAATAAACAGTATTAATTATTATTATTATTTTTTGTTTTTGTAACGATGAACCCCCTCCCCGTCCGAAATRATTTTATTAGTTGCGTCACTGGTAAATAGTAAGTACTTCAATGATTCATTGAAAAAATTTTAATTTAGTAATTTTTTAGTCTTATAATACTAAATAAATTCCTTTAACAAAGACGATAATATCGAGTATAAAAGTAAATAATAATATTTAATGACGGATTTCAGCTCTACTGCCCTCAGCGATTTACTGGTCACGGGTCTTTAACTTACTATCCAAACTGAATACTACACAATAACGACAAACGTATATTTTTACATGTAGTATAAATGTGTATACCTACGTAGGTATTAAAACCATTATACATATTTTATACCTATTACCTACATTAACTATAGTATAATATACCTAATCATTTTTATTTTGATGACGGAGAGAAATATTAAAGTTAACATTTTAACAATATATTCTGTTAAACCTGCAGGGTTGAAAATGTTGTATACAAAAGCCAATAGGTAATACGGGTGGAAAAATATATAATTTAGATATTATAATTTTTATAATTGTTATTGGTATTTAAAACAAATAATATACCTATCATAAGCAGGGCTAATATTTTATAGGATTTTATTGAATTATTATTTTATGATCTCTAGGACAGTATAAAACAGCATTTTAAGTACTACCCTACAAAATCCAATTAAATATTAGGGATTTTAAGAGTGTAATTATGGTATTGAATTTTTCTGACAATTTTACGATTTTTAGTCTTACTAAAACTTGTTATTTATTTTTCTCAATTTAATTTAAATGGATTTATTTCAATAATAATATTAAATTTTAAATTTCAATAAAATTGAATTATAGAATTATTTAATACATTTATTACATGGATTAAGAGGACGTGATACTGGCATATGTTGTAACATAGCAACTGTTACCCTCAGCAGTACACTTGTAGCTCTGTWAGTGTAAAATTTAGAGTGAATTGATCTCTAATATAAAAATTAAAAGTAACATTATTGTGGAGGGCTTCTCGTAGGCATTTTATTATAATTTAATTTTAAAGCGAGTTATAAGTATTTTAAAATTGTACATTGTTTGTATATCTTAAAATACTCATAACTCTTTAAAATTAAATTATAACACACAGCCAATGTGAAGCTTTCGATAATAATGTTACCTTTAATTTWTATGAGAGGTCAATTCACTCTAAATTTTAAAATTACGGAGGTAAACATGATACGCTGAGCGTATAATTTGCTGTTACGCACTTGTAAGACGGAGACAACACATGCGGGTATAACGTCCTCTTAATAAAAAAAAAAAATTCTATTAAAATTTAAAACATATAGGTAATAACTCTGTCTTATGTATGTGATTGATTATTTATTAAAAAAATAAATATTAATTAATTAAATTGAAAAAAAAAAGTGAGACAAATATTGGTTTTAATATTTATATTATAATTGTTATATTAAAAGTTATTGTAACGGCCAACGGGATTGTAGTTATAGTATTACACTATAAACTAGGTACCTACCTAAAATTATTTATAATCTAACGTTTATATATTATAAATTTATAACTATAAGATACCTAAATATCTAATTTAAATTAGGTACATCATAAAATAAAAGTTACAATAACTTTTAATATAACGTTTATATATTATAAATTTATAACTATAAGATACCTAAATATCTAATTTAAATTAGGTACATCATAAAATAAAAGTTACAATAACTTTTAATATAACGTTTATATATTATAAATTTATAACTATAAGATACCTAAATATCTAATTTAAATTAGGTACATCATAAAATAAAAGTTACATTAGTTAAAACTAAAAAAGTTAACCACAAAGTTTATATTATTTTTTTTATTTCTTACAATTAAAATGTTTCAGCATATAGTGCATGCTATCACAAGTTCAACATTTATTGTAACCAACAACTAACTAATAACTACAGTATTTCTATGTAAAAATGATAAATATACGTTGAGGTACTACCAAGGCGCCCGCAGGGAGGGGGCAAAGGGGCCATTGCCCCTACTGGGAATATTTTAAAACTATTTGTATTGTTAAAAAGCAAAAACAAAAAATTATTGAAGACGTTTTACAATCATTTTGTTACAACCAAGACGCATACAACTTTTATTTGATAATTAATATAAATATAATTAATTTGTAACATCTACATTAACATGTATTTAAAAAATATTAATAATRCATTGTAAACCTACACATATAAGGGACTTATGTGATGACATATAATGTTGATTTTTTTTTCTATATAGGTTATGCTATTTTAGAATGAAGACACTTAAAATATATTAAAACTTAAAATAATCTTTTTGATTTGGTTTTAGAATTTTGATCTTGCCCCGGGTGGGATTTTATCCTGCGGGCGTGCTTTGGGTACTACATACTTATACATTATTATCTATATAATCTTCGAAGATCAGTAATGTATAATAATATGTATTATGATTTATGTTATATAGGTATATTGGTTATTCACAGATGTCTCAAAGCGCGTGACGCAATTATATTAGGTAATAAGATTTTATTCAGATTTCATAAATCAAAACCTATTCACGATGATTCTTAATATTTACCAATGGCCGTGGTAATAGGTACCTATTATTTAT